CCTCTCCGGACGCCTTGTTGTTGCGCAGCCTCCGCATTGCATCGTCAACTTTGCCTTCGGAAGGGAGGTCGCACGACACTGCATAGACAGAGTTGAAACTCCGCTGCGGAGGAGAGGGAGAATGTGGTGGGTTGTTCAAAGTTGGGGTGCTCGAAGTGTTCATACAAACGATCGACCTTGGCCTTGTTGTCAGCAAGAAAGCCGTCACTCTCCTCGCGAACAGAATCACAGAATGTGAAGGACTTACCGCTAACTTGGATGATAATTTGGTAGAGTTTTCTAGTGCTCCCAATATTTGAGATATGCTCTATGGAAATTGGTGTTTCGGACTAATACTTCTGCCGGTAATCCGTAGGCGGCTTTGCTGTCAGCTTTCGGAATTGGCGGAAGGAGGCATCGCTGCATGATCTGGCTCGAGCCATCTGGGCAGTCAGCCGCAAGGTTGTTCTGTCGATCCAGTCACTGAGTGAAACCAAGAACTTTTTACTGCCTTCGCCGTCTGCTTAGGTCGTAAGACGGGATCGGATTTCTGCGCTTAGGGCCTCGGTAATGCTGTGTTGCCGGAGTTTTATGACATCAAAGAATTTCGCACGTGGCCTTTTGAGTGCACATGAGAGGTGAACCTTCAGGCATATGTGAACGAGAAGATGGTCAGACCTATGGGCGTTACCTGTTTCCGCAACACGCATAAACTTGCTATCGTGGACCCAACTGCGGAACCTCGAATCAACGAGAATGCAATCGATCTGACTGGCGGTATGGCCACTGTTTGAACACTAGGTCAGTATATGTTTTTGACGATGCTGAAAACATGCGTTGGTCACTCATTGTGAGTTCTGATCAACAAATGCAACACCATTGTAGGATCGAGAGCCACGCCCAAAATGACCACTAAAGTGACTGTCCGGCGAGTCACCGGGCCCAGTCCAGCCATTACAGTCCTCGGCAACAATCAACAGATCACGTTTAGAAAGTCTATAGGAGTTAAGGCTATCACAGTTAACTCTAACACCTACAATCTTCCAAACCCTGGTTCCTTAGGAAATAGGAGAAGTCTCGGGAAGGCAGAGTAGACGGAACAATGTATTGTTTACAGAAGGGATAACGGGAAGGTTGC